CTATAGAACATAAGGTTACCCAATACCGATTCTCCTCCTCTGAGAGGCAAGGTGGGTCAGTGACGTAGCTGGTTCTATGAACAACACAACACGATGCGAGGTTTAAATATTTTATATAGACTGTACCCAAGACTGTACCAGTGTATAGGCTATCTTTTATTCTGACTGTATCGAACCAGTGACGTCAATTTGCGGGGTAATAATCGATACTACAGAGGCATAGGGAATGAGGTAACCTTATGTTCTATAAACCTTGGGTTAGATGTTGACCGGTTTAATAGGAAAAGCATGGTTAACATTGCTTGTGACGTCACATCGAAACTTTAATGTGATTTTTCGGTTATTCTACGCTTTTCCGCACTTTCTTTTTATTTTTAACGTGTGGGTCATTTCAAATTGATTAAAAAAAAAAAATCGTCGATTTTTAAGCCACATGATGCTTCCTGAATTTTTCAAAATATTTATTGCGTACTTCACACTTGAAAAATCAGCTTTTGAAATGTATTCCAAGAAATCTTTAAGAATGGGTAGGTTGTAAGTTTGTAAATATGTTAATAAACTTGTTTTGAAACCAGTTGGGCCTCCACCTTCGTGTTCAGGGGTTCCTTCAGGTAATTGAGGACATATCGGACTCACCCATAACCTAAACATATTAATTTTTTTTTTGTAATTCCTCGTTTCTTTTTAATATTACCCTTGATTATAATGATTCCAATCTTCATAATATAAATTAGCTGTCGATACAACAACTCTTATAGAATTATCCGTGTAAACATAAACACCAATTTTTCTAAAAAAAAATAAATAAGCCATTAATTCTATTTTAATTAATAAAATATTTTACGAATGATGAATTCCAAATGGATCCTTCATTTTCATCATATGATATTTAACGTTAGGTAAAAATTTATTGATGTAATTGGACATACCAGGAAAGTCATCTCCGTATATAATCGTTAAAGGTTTTGTGCTAAATTTAAATAAAAAGTGTTAAAGAAAACCTTTATCTGTGTAAATAACTTACTTTACGTTATGTACTTGATATTGTTCAATTAACCATGATATATCTATGATAAAATTTAATTGTAGCGAACATTTTAGTTCACCTAAACTTGGGCATAATAAATCTACAAAAATTATTAAATGGGGATTAAAAAAACCATCAAAATAAATTGTCACCTGCAAATGTAACAGAATTTTTTTGATCTAATGTATCATATGATTCAGGTATTGTTGTAAAAAATAAGTTATAAGGCTTGTTATTTTCCATTTTAGCGGCCATTGTGTATTTTTGGTGCCCCAAATAATTTCCAGCGACAAATGTAGTCGTTTTCTTTGATTTTTTCGTTCCTTCAGTAGTATTAGGAACACTTGTGCTTGATCCTTGTTTACTAACATCATTAATAATCGCAATATTTGATTTTCCATTATTGATATTACCTCGTAATGATTTTAAAACATTTAATTGTTCCACAACAACTTGTCTACTTTGAGAAAAATCACTTGGTAATTTAAAATCATCGCCTTGTTGTAAGAAATCGTTCACTAAAATAAAACTAATAATTAATAAGTTATCAATAAATTAAATAAATATGTTGGATTTTACTTACGATGAGGATGATCATATTCTTTAAAGTGATGGGGATTTCTTCTGTAACATTTTTCGGCATGTGGACAAATTTCTTGGCGTAATTTCTTATTTTTATGCATCTTATAAAAATATAAAAACCGGTTGGTTTGACACTTTTGTGACAGTTTATCCAGGTTATGTTTTATAACCTATAAAATATTTTTTTCAACAATTTTCGATTTGTTTTCAAACTTATTATAAAATTGTAACAAAAAAATAGATAAGGTCTTTTATAATAAAGACAGTTTTCACCAAAACGATGTAATGTAAGTATTTTAAATTAGTAGGTATTATAAATAGGGTTAAACAACATAACCTAAAAATGTTTTGATTTGGCGCTTATTTTATAACCTTTTTTTAAGGAACAAAATTGCAGTTCAAGAATAGTATATTATTAAATAAAGAATAGGAAACAATTAAAAATTAAGGACAATATTGATAAAGGTATTTATTAAAATTTCAAATTAGAATAATATGGGTTATCATCCTTATCATAAGGTATCAAATCTGTATCATAAATAAAAGGAAAAGAATTTGCGTTTTCTTGTTGAGCAATGTTAAAAAACTCCTGATTAAAAAATTTGGGTAAGAATAACACTCCGACTTCGTATGATCTCACATAAGACGTTCCCTGTTTATTAATTTTATTACCCCAAGCGGCCACAGAGATATTTGCGCTTGTTAATAATAACCAAGCTAATTTATTTTTGCAAGGGGAAATTCTGCAATATGTTTTAATATGAGGCATTGCATGTGTTCTCGACCAATAATTTGCAGACCATTGACTGAAATAAAAAATTACTACAATGTTTTGATAAGATTATGGCTTTTTTATTACAATAAATAGTCTCGAACCCAAAGTTGCTTTTCATCGTTACTCTTCAAATATGATAAACATTTACCACCTTCTTCTCTAAAAAGGCTTGTTTGTACATTTTTTGCTGTAGGAAATATAACATTTAAATGAGGAGAATGTTCTTGATCTAATATTGCGGATTTCAAAGTGGTTAAAAAATCACCAAGTAACCAGTGTTCGGGGGTCTGTAGAGACCCTATGCTAGATGCTTGTGCATTGATTTCCCAATTTAAAATATCTTGATTTGATAAGTCACAATATTTATTTAAGAGATCTCGTGTTCTTAATAGATGACACCCAGTATCTTGTTGTAAGGAGTGGTTCCCTGGAGTTGATGTTACCAAAAAGACGCTGCATAAATATGCAATGTAAATAATTCAGTTCGCAACGATTTAAAATACAAATTACTTTATATGAGAAAAGTCAGTCTTTTTTATGATGTCTTCAAAGTTTGATGTAAAAGCTTTGCATTTGGAATAGGCATCAAGATATTTTAATAAACTAGTTTTGAAACCTGTAGGACTCTCTCCATCCTTTTCCAAACTCCCCTCAGGTAGTGAAAAACATTTTGGGCTAACCCAAATTCTAAATTAAAAAGAATAATATAGATTCAAAATTCAAACAATTTGATAGTCTTAGTACCCTTGGTTATAATTACTCCAATCTTCTTTAAATAAATTTGCTGTTGACACAATTATTCTTAACGAATTATCACTGTAAACGTAAACTCCCAATTTACTGAAATAATAATTAAAATTAAAAGGTTAGTTAAGTTTATTGTTAATATTACGAATGGTGTGTTCCATATTGGTTACATATTATTTCTTTATGTTTTATATTCGATGGGATTTTATAATCTCCCTGTTTATTTTCTTCAATGATTTTGCCGTATAATATTGTTATTGGTGTATTGCTAAAAGTAATTGGTTAAAATCGAATTGCTTTTCATAAAAATAACTCTTACTCGACTTTGTGAACTTTGTACTGATCAATTATCCAAGGTATATCAATTAAAAAGTTTATTTGTAAAGAACATTTTAATTCGCCCAAACTAGGACACAATAAATCTATAAAATATATAAATTCAAATTAACTATCACTTTTAAATCACAAAATGGCGAGACAGTGCATTTACCCGAAAATGTGATGGAGTTTCTTTGTTGTAACGTCTCGGGAATTTGATAAATCGACGAAAAAAAGATATTATACGGTCTGTTATTCTCCAATTTCGTGGCCATATCTATCTTTCTCTTTTTTGTAAACATTTTATTTATTTTTTTGCTATACTTTCTATATGCGGCACAACCAACTATAAAGTGAGGACGTGTATCTTCAGCCACACCTTATCACTTCCATAACTATAACCTTGAACATTATATTATATAATCATTTTAATCAAAACTTTTTCTAAAAAAAGTTTATGTATTTATCTTATCTATGTCTTCTTAGAATTGCAACTTTCAATTTTTAAACTTTGCCTTTAAAACGTATTGCGAAATATGGATTTAACCCAGGAAGAATATGTAAAAGATCCAAGGATTGCTTGCAAATATGGTTGGAAATGTTATCAGAAAAATCCGATTCATCAAACCAAATATAAACATCCCCCAAAAAAACGAGTAAGTGATAAATTCAATTTTTTAATTTTCCACGTGCGGCTAAACTAGGGTTGCCATACGTCTCGGTTTTCCGGGACTGTCACCGGTTTTGTCATCAAAGTCCCAGTGCCCCGAAAAAGCTCTTCGGGACATGGTATTGTACCGGTTTTAAAAATATGAGGTCCCGTTCTAGAAGTAGGGGAGTTTTCAATAGATTTTAGGGAAATTTCACGCGTGAGGTTGGCAACTACTGGCGCCCGACCGTGCAGACAGCATACTGTACACAACAACCTCCGCACCAGTTCATCATTCATACTGATAGGTGATGGTTGGTGTTTTCACGTTTTAAAAGCTGCTTACTATTATACTGTGCTTATTCAGTGTGATTCATTTTTCGACAACAATGCCGAAACGAAAGTGTCACTTCCGCGATGAGTATTCTAAAGAGTGGACTTTTATTAAGAAGGGAAGGAATGAGGAAGAAGCATACTGTTCATTCTACAACGGCTATATTTCCATAAGTCATGGTGGTAGAGCTGATTTATTAGACCACATAAAAACAAACAAACATAAAAACCTCTTCTAAGCCGATCGCTGATTTCTTTGTAAAGAAGAATTCCAAAGAAGATGTTTTGGTAGCTGCTGCCGAGCTAACCACAGCATATCATATTGTTAAACATCACCATTCGTTCAAGTCAGTTGATTGTTCAAATAAGCTGAATCCAACAATGTATTCAGATTCTAAAATTGCAGCCAAACAATCTACGGCACGTACTAAAGCCACAGCGCTAATTAACAACGTACTTGCTCCTCATTCAGTTAGTACTTGTGTATCAGAACTTGAACAAATCCCATTTTATGAGATATCAACCGACGCTAGCAACCACAAAGCAGAAAAAATCTTTCCGCTAATCATTCAATATTTTAAAGAAGATTCAGGTATTACAAGTAAAATCATCAAAATTTCCTCATTAAAAGATGAAACATCAGATACAATAACAAACTATTGTTTAACAAGCCTAACTGATGCAAACCTTCCTCTAGACAAGTGCTCTTCGTTTTGTGGTGATAACACAAATACTAATTTCGGAGGGGTGAACCGCAGAGGAGTGAACAACATTTTCCACAAACTGGAAGATGTTTTGAAAAAAGAGCTAGAAGGAATTGGGTGTCCTGCACACATATTGCACAATACAGTTTCTTGTGCAGCTGATGTCCTTGCTGTTGATGTTGAAACAATAGTTGTCAAACTGTTCAACTATTTCTCAATCTATACCATCAGAACTGAAGAACTTAAAAGTTTCTGTGAGTTTGTTGGCATAACTTACAAACAGTTACTGTACCACTCAAGGACAAGATGGGTATCACTCATGCCTGCTGTTGAGCGTATATTAAACCTATGGGAAGCTTTGAAATCATATTTTCTAAGCCAGGAAAAGTCTCCAAAATTGCTTGTAGATTTTTTCTCAAACTCACTGAGTGAGGCCTATCTCTGGTTCCTTCAGAACCAGCTATCATTGTTCCACCGAAAAATAAAGAGAATTGAGTCTTCAAAAATTTCTGTGATTGAAGTCAAATTAATATTGGACGAGACTTTGAAGAGTGTGAAGGAACGAGAAGAATCCCTGTTCATTGGCCTGAAAACTAAACAAATCGTAGACAAAGAAGATAAAACTGTCAGAGATAAGTTCGTAGAAGAATGCAAGGACTTTTTCCAAACTGCCCATGGTTATTTGAGAAAATGGAGTGAGTCCCTCCAGCACTTGGCCACATTTGAATGGACCACATTGGACACAGTTCCTGAATGGAAACAAATCGAAAACACCCTTGCTTACTTTACCGGCAAGAAAATATCCTTCCCAGAAAGTGAAGTTTTCGACCAATTTTCTTGTCTTAAAAACAATATCACACTGTTAAAAGACGAGCAAGACAAAGAAGAAAGTAAGTGGAAGGATTTAAGCTCGAGTGAAAAGTGGGTCAAGTATTTCAATACTATGGACAAAAGTCACTTTTTGAAAATGTGTGAATATGTTTTTTCAATACCAGCTCACAATGCGAACGTGGAAAGAGTGTTTTCTATGATGTCAAACCAGTGGACTGACGAACGCAACCGGCTCTCAGTTGAAACTGTTCAAAATATTTTGATCTGCCAATATAATTTTAATAAAACTTGTATCGAGTTTCATAGCTACGTTCAAGGCCAACAAGACCTTCTCAAAGCTGCCAAATCCTCCGAGAAATATGAGTGGTTTTAACTTTTTTCAAACAGTCCACTTTAATTTCAGATAGCTACAAATACGCTTACATACTTTTAGTTTTAGGATATGTTAAAGAGTTATTCTGGAGTCTCCAGAATAATCTCAGACTGGAGTTGTTTTTTTTTAGTTCTATTGATTGTAATAAAAAGTAGCAAGTAATAAAAAAACTTGATTTCGTTGTTAATTTAAATTTTCGTTCCCTTTACCAAGTAAACATTGTTTATAAAATAGTTGTTAAAAAAATAATGTTCATAGTTTGCTCAAAACTATGCTTAAACCCGTATTTTATAATTTAAAAATGAAAAATCATTCTTAGGGCGTAAACTGGACTACGTTAGTCGTCGTTTTCTCATACACCTATTGTAGGTGTCCCGGTTTACTACACTGGAAATATGGCAACCCTAGGCTAAACCGATATGTTTCTAGGTCTAATTTTGCACTAGCACTATCACTAAAGCTAACACAAGACCTAAAACCATTCGGGTTTAGCCGTCTTGAGAGACGTGCGGCTCTCGGATCCGAAAATCTCGGATTTTTATTGAATTAAAACTATCTACACTACATCTGTACAGGGTGGTTCAAATTCGATGTCCGAATAGGCTAACTCGAAAACTATAAGAGTTAGAAGAAAAGTAGCTGACATGTCATGATCTCGTTTTTCGAGAAACTGCTAATGCCGAAAACCTCATAGCGCTATCGTCTTTTGTTTTTCCCCTAGAGGCCAAAATTGAAAATATCGTAAAACCAGCAAGTGCAATTATCTTGGTTATTATTATAGGTGGAGTATTATAACTAAGACATTATATGGACACTTTTTTACAGAGAATTTGATGACGTAGTCAAAAAAATTTTGTCGGTTTTAGATTTTGAGATATTATCACAATTTTCGTTTTTTTAAATGGAAACAACCACTGATTATTCGCTTATTAAATTCGTTATTTTTTTCTGATTACAAAAATATAGGGTTCGACAGGTCTATTTCTTATTGTTTTAGAATAAAGCCAAAAATAAACTTTTTTTTTAAATTTCCATCTAGTGTCATCGACGAAATTAAATTTACAGTTTCCTGTAAATTATGGTACTATAACTAAAAATTAAAAAAACAAATTTCTGATGTTTGAAACAAATAAATTTGTTGAACTATTTAATTTATATATGTTTTACACAAAAGTTGGAATAGATTGCATTATTTCACATTTTTTATTAATATTTAATATTATTATTAAATGACTTAATAAATTATTGATAGATGGCGCTCATATATTTTTTTTTTTAATTCAAATAAACATAGCAACATTTGTTTGTATTCAAAAATTTTCTGAAGTGTCACTTTAAAAATCCTGTTTTTAAGATCAATTACGAAAATTTTGAAAAGTTTGACATGTTAGAATGTTACATATTAAAAAATTATTTGTTTTTAAATACCAGAAGTTATCTTCGTATTTAATTGTTAACTTTTTAGATTTTACCTACCGCCCCGTAACTTACAGGAAACTGTAAATTTAATTTCCTCGACGACACTAGATGGAAATTTTAAAAAAAAAGTTTATTTTTAGCTTTATTCTAAAACAATAAGAAATAGACCTGTCGAACCCTATATTTTTGTAATCAGAAAAAAATAACGAATTTAATAAGCGAATAATCAGTGGTTGTTTCCATTTAAAAAAACGAAAATTCTCATGATATCTCAAAATCTAAAACCGAAAAATTTTTTTTGACTACGTCATCAAATTCTCTGTAAAAAAGTGTCCATATAATGTCTTAGTTATAATACTCCACCTATAATAATAACCAAGATAATTGCACTTGCTGGTTTTACGATATTTTCAATTTTGGCCTCTAGGGGAAAAACAAAAGACGATAGCGCTATGAGGTTTTCGGCATTAGCAGTTTCTCGAAAAACGAGATCATGACATGTAAGCTACTTTTTTTCTAACTCTTATAGTTTCCGAGTTAGCCTATTCGGACATCGAATTTGAACCACCCTGTACACCGTTGTTGGTGGAGATATAATTAAATTCTTTGCGTATGGTGAAAGATAACCTAGATGACTATTTTTCAATTGTATTGATCAATTGATTATTTTAGCAAGTTAATCATAATTATCAACAACCCAATAAAAAGCAAAAATTAAATCCTGATGTCGCAACATCAACATTTAATAAAATTGATAAAAATGACGAAGATATTGAAGAGAAAATCGATAATGTAGAAAGAAATAAAGAGTTAATTAGCGAAAGTGATAATGAAAGTGAAAATGAAAATATAAAAATAAAAGTTGTTGAAAAGAAAATTGAGATACCAGAAAAAACAGAAATTGAAACAAAAAAATTAAGCGATAATAAAAATTTAATCTTAAGTGGTTTTGATAAAAAAGAATTTATAAAATCGAAATTTTTGGTGGAAATGCCGAACGATTTTTATCAATTTTGGGATTTTTGTAAAAATTTAAATTCAAAAGATCCATGCTTAGCCTTAAAAGAAATCGATTTAACATTAGTTGGTCCTTTCGACGTATTATCCGGCAAATTTGATGATAAATTAGAACAAGATAATGAAAACTACTTAATTCATTGGAGATTTTACTACGACCCACCAGAATTTCAAACGATTTTAATCGGAACTAATTGGGGTTATCATATTGGGTATTTTAGAGATGAACCGAATAAAAACCCCGTTTTCTTAGCAGAGAATTACGCCGAAAAGAATGGATCATTTTCCGTAATGGGAGATAACATTTTTGGATCAATTTTGTAATAAAAAATATATTTTCGATTATATATTTTTTTTAATTTATATATTTACATTTTATAGTATATATTTAAATGATCTCTTAAAAAAAGCGTCTCCATTTAAAAAGATGTCGATTCAAAAGTTCATAAATCTCATTAAAAAAGAATCGGAAAGGCTCGATTTAAATCTTTCAAAGAAAACTAATTCGATAACGCAACGAGATCGAAATGTAATTGCGAGATCTTTTAATTCGTTGGGAATGGTTGTTCCGTATAATAAAGAGTAAGTTTTTTTATAATAAGTAATTTGATAATTTGAAGATAATTTTTTAGGACCGAATTGGGATACAGACCGCTTGCTATATCAAACAAAGAGTTGAAGGTTCTTTTTGAAAAACTCGCAAAAGCTACCGATTCGGAAAAAGCTTCTCTTATGAGCGATTTACAGCCGGTTTTGACTTACGCCAGCATCGCCACTGATGAATGCGATTTTGCGACGGGATTAGAACTTGGACTTGATATGTTATTTTATGGTATAGAACATTTAAATTTACTTACAAAAAAATATTTATCAACAGCTTATAATTTGTTAAACCGATCCGAATTTGCTTTAATAATTCAAGCTCATATGAGTAATCGAAGAAAAGGAAGTGATTTAAGTATTATTTAATAAATTTTTGTATTGTATTTTATTTATTTAAGTTACTAATAAATGAAAAATTGATAGCATATCTTTCTTGGTAGTGTAGAGTTTCTAGAACGCACAGAACGACATAGAAAAGCTTCCAAGTTCTTTTAGAAAAGACGTGTAATTAATCCAAACAACTCAAAAACTGTTTGCAGAACTACAATTTTAGTAAAAAATTGCAACTAATATTTTAAATATCAAATAGTATATTAAAAAACAAGTTTCGTAAGACACGCTTGAAATGCACGAATTCAAGTTGAAAAACGAGTGGCGAAGCCATGAGTTTTTTAATGATAACCTCAAATTGTTTAATTTATACCCACGCACTAAATAAAAAGTTATTTTCACTAAACTTGTTGGGATTACAACATAATTATTCATAATGACACCTATGTGAAGTTAGCCCCCAATTAAACAGAATTTTACATGTATAGTATTTTAATTATAACATGAGAACCAGTGAACCGATTTCGATAAACAATGTCTCATTCGAAAGCTTAATCCTTGGCCAATACGAAAGTGGAAATGCCCGATTGAAAAACTCTTTCGAATTTCGCTAAAACGTCAAAATAATGCGAAGATACACGAAAATAACACAAAATTGACCTTCTTTAAGTGGTGATAACTCGTAAACGATGTACCCGATGATCAAAATCTATACGTCACTCGATTCGTCATAGTGTCTTCTATCGAAATCACAAAATGCTCGATTTCAATTCTCTCCCGCTAAGTTTATACAGCCCTCGGAATGACACCGTCTTCGGCTCGTTGTTTATGCACGTGTGAA